TTTTATAATGTGCTTTCCTCATTAAAAACAAAGCCGAAGTTCTATTTTGTTTCATTCACACGCGTTTAACACACAAATCCTGCATATTTGATTGATTGTTGATGTCATGCGGTAATACAGGAGGTGCTCCACTGTGTTTGTACATTCCATCTGTCTTCACTAGAAACAATTGGATAATTTCAGTCCTGGAATTTCAAATCTCCACTAAACTAAAGGTAAAAGGTTGATGAAAACTACAGCTTCATGACATCACAAGATGGAACAGAGTATTTTGAGAGGTGGAGATGTAGATGAACTAATAATAAAGGGTTACTCAAACATATGTGAATGAAACAAAACACAACTCCAGGGGGGTATACCATGAAGCGAGCTAAAGTGAAAGCCTGGCTTATTTGGCCAATCCAGGCTTGCCAAAGCCTCAGCTCTGTTCCACCAACGTGACTAACCTGAGGTGGTGCTGAGTTGCAGCAGTAACAAGCCGCTGGACTAACTGTCAAGATTATTTTAACTTTGTCTCCAAGAACGACTGAAGAGTTTCCACACGTGCACTCACACACCTGTGTTAGAACACCTGTCTCTATCTCTGTCTGATACAGTTTAAAAAGTGACTTTTATAGTCACGTGTTGCTTGAGATAGTCCATATTAGAGCCCGACCGATATATCGGCCAATATGGGCACCTGGAGACATATCGGCCGATATGCTTGCTGATATGGGCCGATATTTCACGTGGGCATGTTATACCTCGTTATAAAGCTTAGACTCTCTACATTATGTTCATTTAATCCAATTTACAGACAGATAAATGTCCTAATATGTGGCTCCGCATCAGTATTTATCTACGGTGTAATTTGTCTGTGTCTGTGTCCGTACTGTCCCTGAACACACCACCAGAGTGACGTCACTTCACTCGCGTGTGTTTGTTTACACCCGCAGCCGTGCGCAACACTGAGATTATATTCTTTTTCGGACAATCGGTTTGAGTCTGGATTAAAAGGACATTTATTAGTGCAGACTTGTGATGTGAGGAGGAGCCTGTGTGAGCGGTGAGTGTTGGAAATACATCGACTTTGAAGCTAGTTTAGGTTTTGTTAGCGATTAGCTGCTGTAGCTCCCACACATAAACAGGCTGTTTTCTATTGGTCTCTTGTAAAGTGACTACATTGGCCGTATATTTGTTACTGGACCAGCATTGATATGTAAATGAGCTGTGAATAGACATGTGAATGATCCACATTTATGCATATAATTAATTACCGCGGTGCGCACGTTTTTACGGCTAAAGGCTAATAGCGGTAGTTTCTGTACTAGCTAGGAGTTATGGGTCGGTCGCAATCGAAGCGGCTCTTAGTGCCGACTCTTTGAAGCGAACAACGGGAGCATGTTTCTTATTGGGAGCCGTGTTTTCTCTTTTTCTCACTTTTTCTCTTCATGCCGCATGTAGACCCGTAGTTTGACAGCAGCAGCGGCTGAAAACGAAACTTTCAGAAATCTGTATGTGCATAGGATAAAAAAAAGTGCATATTTGGCTGCAGTTCAGCATAAAATGAATAAACCAGGACTAAACTTGGGCTTGAGTGAAGGAGAGAGATAGAAACCGAGTCCCGACACTCAGTCGTGGTTCAGTTCTGGTTTAGTCCTGTTTGCAACAAAACCATCTCAAGAGTCGAAAGAGCCAGTTGCTTTAGTGAGCCGAGCCGGTTCTCCAAAAAAAATAAATAAATAAAAACTGGAATACCCATCACTAGCAGTGACAGTAACAGTAGATAGAATGTGATGCAAAAATGCCATTAGGCCAATCTACTGTATGTAAATATGATGTAAAGAGTCAAAATAACAATAAATGTTGCCTAAATAAACAAACCCAATTTAGAATCCACTAGAGCCAAACCTAAGTTTTTTATCAATTCAAGATTTACACAGTGAATTTTTACATCACTAAATATATCGGCGATTATATAGGCTATCGGCAGCTCCAGCTCCCATTATATTGGCTTCATATCGGTCACAACAAAATCCATATCGGTCGGGCTCTAGTCCATATGCTCCTACACATGGGACACACCTGTCTGTGGACGCTGCACTCATCAAAAAGGCACAAACTATATAAAAGCCTATGGCCATTATTTCATTAAAAATAACTTGCACATGTAGATTTTGTGAGGGGCAGTGCAGCTTTTACACACAGACAGACATTGAGGACTCTGAGGATGACAATGGATTCTGTCTGTTTGCTCATTCATCACGTGCCTCATCATTCCCTCGTCTCTCACTCCCTGTCAACCTGTCAAACTGCAATCCCCTTGGCACAGATTTTATCGTTTCTTGTTAGGGTACATATGAAGAGGTCCATTACAGGTTTCCTTTTATGCACAGTGGAACTTAAGCTCCGCATGTACTTCTGCACATCGGGACGGGGTCAGGCAACTTCAGTCCCAGACTCCGCACTCTGCAGCCAGCCTCTTCTCTGTTGATGAAGCGATGCGGAGAGGAGGGGGAGCGAACAGGAGACGAAGGGGGAGTCGTGTCTTTCCTCTTGCTCCTTAGATCAGAATGATGGGAAAAGTTCGGTGGCCCAAATCGAACTCTTGTCCGTGTTAGTCAGATCATAAGAAATATCAAATGTTTGGCCCCTTTTCCGTCATGCCTCCATTGATCTGGCATTGTCAGAGTCACCGTGAGTGCACACAAAGCGCAGCTTAAACTCCAGGCCTTAATTAGCCTTGGTTAGACCCAGGCTTATTTCTGTCATGGAACGACTTGAGGCTTAAGCTAAAGATAGAGCTAGATTCAGCTCAGGACTTCAGGGTGAGCCTGGACTTGTTAAGCCACTTTGATGGCATACCCCCCAAGTATGTTTTTGATGAGGCAACAACATTCTAACATGACTTAAAACTCACAAGCGTCAATTTTGCATATTATAGAACCTTTAAAAACATTCAAGAGCCTAATTCGTAAAAAAAAAAAAAAATTGAATCATCGTTATCATGCAATATACAACATTTACAGAGCTAATAATACTCATATCAAGTAACGCAACCATTGACTTAACAACAGTTTGATTCTTTGCGTCAGGCTCCGACTCTTCTCATTAATTGCATATCAGCAGCAAGCAGCGGATTTTCATTCACACCGTTTTATTTATTTTTTATATAAAAAAGTAAATGATCATGGGTGCGCTTCTAGCTCCATCAGCTCTGGTTAGTATTGACTTTTCATTGCCTCTCTCTCTGTAACTGCTGCAGTGAGCCCAATTTTGGTCTTAAAATGTTCCTATTAACCTGCTCTACATGATCCTGGTGTTTTTATTTCACAATTTTGTCTGTAAATAAATTCTTGTTCCTAATTTGGCTCCAAATTCGCTCCTATAAGCCTGGTGAGCTTCATGTGATTGGAGCCAAATGCTATGGCTGATGTCACACTCCCTTAGTCCACTTCCTTACACAGACTATAATAATATGCCCCTTTAATCATTAAAGATGCACTGTGCAACTTTTTTGATGGAGGGTCCACAACCTGTTTATCTCCATGGAAATGTTGCTTTGTCTAGAATGTTCCACAGTATAGACTAAACAGAATGGAAACAGTACTATGTTACATTACAATTCAAATCTGTGGACAGTTGACCCTATTTACAGAAGGAATTATTTTATTTTTGAGCAGAAGAAACATCCGTAATGAATAAATGCTAGATCGACATGTTTAATGTCATACCATGGAACATTCCAGGCAAAGCATTAACACCTCCATGGAGACAAGTAGGTAGCAGACCCTCTACCAGAAAATCTGCGCAGCGCACTTTTAAATATTTAATTGCCAAAAATATCTAGGTTTCTGAATAGATCTAAAGAAACAAATATGGAACAAAAAGCTAATGACAACAGATGAGACTGGTTTGTTTACTACAACATCTATTGTCAGAAAAACTAGCTCTGACAATGATGAATAGACCTCCTCAAACTCAAAAACCCATCACATTTGGTTATGTTAAGAACAAACAGAGCACTTATCTGTGCTTCTGCATCAGCATGTCCAGGCGGCTTAAGCAGACAGCAGAAAATACACTTTGACAGCCACAGGACTGGTCATGAACCTCTCAATGAAAAAGAGGTAATCTCTGACCATTTGGAACTTTTAAATGGCAATTCAATTAAAATCTGATTAAATTTAAGTGTGATTCATTGTACAGCTTGGCCAATTGCATTCTATAAAGTTTGTAATACATCTCATATGCCTACTTTTTCCTATGTTCATCATCTATTTTAATCATGTTCTTGTTAAAAAAATTAATTCACAAAAATATATTTCCACATGAGAAGAAGCCAGACGTGAGTCCTGTGCATGAGGAGGGATCTGTGCTCGTCCGATGCTTATGGCACAAAGGCCTTGCAATTAATTAAACCAACTTTCTTAGAACAAAAGAGAAGTCTGGATATACGAATAGGCTTGTAGTTACATCTGGACACCGTAGTCAAGTTATCCTGCATATTAAATATCCTAATTGATGATGCGCACAAGGGCGACCTTTCAATCATTCAAGTGACACCAGGGTCATCTTTTAATCAAAATTATATTATCAAAATATTACTCAGTCTGGTAAACAGTCAGGAAATACTTTAGATAGTATTCAGTAGGATAAAAGCTTAAACTTTATAGGCTATTAGTAAGTACATGCACACCTTCCTTCCAGCCCATCACTCAGTCTGGAGCTATTCAGCATGTCCGCTCAGCGCTGCTGTCACTTCACTTCACCACGACTTTCAACTCGGCAACACTTCAGTCCGTAAAACACTCTGTTCACGACGTATAGTGTCAAAGTCCACCAGAAGGACATAAAGTGTGTGGACACTATAAAATATCGTCTACCGGAGAGCCCTGTGGGGTTACTTAAAGGGCTTAGTACACCGCTTTTTACATTCGCGACGCCCTCCCCTGTACTTCCTAATTCCAATATTCGTCAATATTGCGATAGCTTTTCCTTGGATATGATTAGTATCTTACCTCGTACAGGTCCCCCGAAGCCATACTGGGCGCGGGCTCGGGTGGCGCGACGTTTTTAGCTGTCTTGTTGGCTTTTTGGATCGTATACTCTCTCGGCGTTTCGGCGAAAGCCCCGATAGACGGACGGGAATTAGCAAGCAGCCGTGTTATTCTGAGCAATCCGCAGTAGCAGATCAGCAGACAGCGTCAATCGAGCTCGGCGCTGTGCGTTGGATCGTTCTACACTTACAAACAAACAAGCGTCGGGCGGTGCTGTTGTTTACTCCGAACAAGTGACAAACTGAAGACAGCCCGCCTCGTACGCTCAGCGTGACGGTGTGCTCAGCTCAGAGCAGCGTGTGGCAACCGAGCGTCAGGGGCAGATCATGTGTGTAGAGACATGAACGAGGACAGATCCGTGTGTGTGACCCACCTGTGCGCTTCTCACATCACCTCACCTTTACATCAACGCTGATCACCAGTTACTATGTAGTTATTATCAGACTGTTACTGGCCCATGGTCATTTAGCCTACTTTAGGCTACCTAGGGTGTGATATCTTTTCCTTTAGTCACAATAATACCTGTAGCCTACCAACCCACAGGCCTGACATATTGGCCTAGTTGAGAAAATAAATGTTTTAGACAAAGAGAAACTTAATTGATCCACAAGGGAAATTATTTGGCCACAGAGGCTCACACATGACAATAAATATAATAATAAAGCGCAAAAAATATAGCCCACTAGTAAATGATCAATAATACATTCAAAATAAGCAAAAATAGCGAGTTTGAAAAATAGAGACTTGTGTCAAATATGACATACCCACAAATGTATATGACTCCACTTGTGTCCTCTTCCTCCTCAAGTCTATCACCAGTTCCTTGGTCTTGCCAACCTTCAGAAGCAGATGGTTTCCCAGGGACAACTCCACATAATTTGCACTCAGTGTTCTGTACTCAAGCTCTGGATCCAGTCCAACTACAGACTTACTTCTGATGAACTTTAAACATCACAGTTTAGGCTACAATAGGCCACCCTGCAGAAAATAGCCTACTGGAACAAAGCAGACATAGCCAAGGCCTAAAAGAGAATTAGAGATGGTGAAACTGTGATTTAAGTCAGATGTTTCATTTTCAATTAGAAGTCAAAGAGCAAAGGTGTAGGCCTATTTAAGGAGAGCATTTACATATTATAAAACCCCTATAGCTATACAGGATATAGATGCATCCTGTAACTTTTCTGGTGGCCGGTCCATCACTAGCTTTTCTTCATGGATATGTTATTGCATTGCCTGGAATGTTCCACAGTATGATATCGCACTTATTTATATCTATGAGACAAGCAGGTTACACCACAGGGCCAAGTTACCATGGAGAGGTGAGGTGAATAAAAGCACATATTTTTGCATAATTGTGCAAAATGGGTAAGTTTAACTGTAGAACATATCAGATAAAACAATAGCATCTCCATGGAGACAAAAAGGTGGCGTAACCCCTGCCAGAAAAGTTTAATACTGTGCCTTTAAAACCAACAACAAAATAGTTAGTTAGTTGTCTATAGCTTATAACAATTTATTTATTATATAATTTAGTAAACGCGTGTTGAGTTCTGAGTATTGTCATTAAGCCCATAAGTTGTTCTCCACAGTGCATGGGAAGGTCAAGCAATCCCAACGATTGTACGCTATATAATCATGACTGGACTCTTGAGCTTGCTTTATACAGCAATATCTAAATATTTTATTTATGTGATAACCTAGCTATTTATTTATGAATATATATAAAATAAAAGGGACATAATAATAAATAGCATTACAACTTCTGACCGCACCTCAAATCTCGCGATGTTTTGACTGCTGCATGTATGGCATGCATGCTCAAGCTTCTCTGCCCTAATGATGATTCATGATAAAATAATACATTGTAGATGTTTCCCATGAATTAAAGTTTTTTTAAAGCACCAAACAGTGGCCTACTTGTTGCGCACGCTACGTTTTTCGACAAGAGCTTCAATGCACGTGCGCATGAAAGTATAGTGATAATTCATTTTGAATCCCTTCACGGAATGTGGAGGCTTAAGTTTGGTAAGATTGTGGCCATTGTCAGCCTGCGATTTCCATCGTGAGCAACGGTGACATTATAGGTAAGCTTACCAATGCTATTGTGAGTTCAGAAAATTTTTACTCTTTTTGGTAAAAGCCAGACTGAATCAATTGCATATAAATAAAGATGCATTGACTGTAGTCCCTAAAGAAATGGCACCAACATCTCTAACTAGTATTTGAAAGTTGTCTTGTGTATCTGCGTGCAAGACCCATCAAGGTTTCTGTAAAATATTGAAATGATTTCCTAAACATGGACTCCGTAGAGTTAGACTAAAATTGCGGTGATGTGCTGTTGTCTGTCACAGAAGTGAAGAGTTATTTACATATCATGGTGATGTCACTGGGTTCTTTTGTGCAGGTGTGATGTGAGCGCAAAGGAGCAGCCTGGATCTTCTGATCAGATATGAAGGAGTTCCACTCAAGAGTCCATTCTCCAGTCTCGTCTGGAGAAAACTAGAGCACTGGTGAGTTATGGAGATATAGGTAAGAGAGAATATGTCTTATTGTATTGTTTGGGTCAGAGGGTATTGTTTAAATGGTCACATTTTTCTATAGCACTTTTCCATCTTCAAGGCACTCAAAGCACTTTACAACAAGGAACCACTCACCCATTCACCCACAGTGTACACAGACACTGTGGGCAAGGTGGGTTAAGTGTCTTGCCCAAGAATCACACCAGCCAACCTGTGGGTCAGTGGATCTGACTGCTCAACCTATGATGTAGGTGTCGAGAGCTGGAATCGAACCGCCAACCTTCAGATCAGTGGGCAAATGCTATACCAACTGAGCTACTTTAGACATTTGTTTGGTGCAAGGACCAGAAAGGCATTTGAATGCATAATGGCATTTATTTTACTTTACTGAAATATTGATAATGTTTGTTAACATGCAGGATAGGGAGAGTAATTGTAGCAGCAGTAGTAATTGTAATTACAGTAATAAAATTTATTTATATTCTTTCTGCCATATATATCATATAGAAGGTTTACCCCATCCAATTTAGTTTATTTGAGAGGGACCATGTGCAGGAGCATTAATCAATAAACATTGAAGAGATACTTTGTACTAGACTGTAGCTTTTGCAGCTAATTTCCATCTGCAGTCCCTGAGACAGACAAAACAGAATACATAATAGCATAAACAATACAATCTATATACAAACAGTTATTAAAAACTACGATGGTATTAAATATATCTCTGTTCCATTCCCAGCCTGCTCCATCTGTACCCTTAATCAGATATAATTTAGTTGTTAGTTAATGTTGGCACATCTGCATTGTTAAAAATATGTTCTTAATTCTGCACTAAACCTTTTGAAGTCTTTGCATACTTTCAAATGTGCTGGTTATATGTTCCATTCTGTTATAGTTTTGAAAGAGATTGCTGATTGACCTAAAGCTGTTTTTCTTTTAGATATGCCGTTAAAGTCTCTTAAAAGCTGTGTGATTTTGCAAATATTAAATTACATTAGTGCATATTTGATGTAGGTTAGTCTTAAGGTTGCAGTTGCTATTGCAGTATTTGGCAATGTTAGTACTGTCTTAAGCTTATTGGTCTTCAGCCTTGCACTTGGAGGTAACTTGCACTATTTACATCATCTCCTTAAATAACCTACTGTCCAACTCTGCATCAGCACTTCTCAAAACATGTGGTTCTTTCCTCACTCTGCAGCTGTCTTTTTAACGCACTGCACCTCGAGGACATCTGGGCTCTGGTGGGTTTAGCCCTGAACCTATTTACTTTTCTTTTCAGGTAGCAAGAAATTCTACTGCTTTTTACTTGCATATTGGCAAGCTGAGTTGCTTTAATACTACGATTTAAGACTCATTGGAACAAAATGGAGAACACATTGCTTTAACAGTTAAAAAGACTTTTATTAAAACAATAGTTTTTGAGCTGTGTGTTAAATGAGTACAAACAAGAAACAATACCTGATGCCATTGAGTGATAATATTAGGCATAAATAACAAAAGTTAAAACAAGGAAAGGGATGATAACTTTTTTCTGTGAACACAGAAATGGTTCTTAGGGTTGGGGAGCAATGCAGAAGAGAAAGAAGAGATGTTTTCTTTTTTTTTTCTTATCCAGTGCCAGTACCAAGTGCTAATTATCCAGAGCTCCTGATAACTGGATAGACTTGCTGATTTGAATCTGATTTGAAATGACTACAAACTGAAATATTGTCTTTACAATCCCCTGCTCTACATACCATAATGATAATATAATAAGAAATAACTAACTTTTGTCCAGTTGACAAACTGAATTTACTCCTCGCCATGGATTCTACCTGGACGATTGAGGGATTCTTCACACATAATAAGAAGTAATAGATAAAATAATGTATGACTCGACAGTCGATAGTCATTAGAGTATTGTTCAATATATGAAAGCTGGAACAATATTTTGTATGAGTCAGTGTTTAACCTGTGTACTTTTTTGTTCTGTAGTGGAAAAAAAAATATCATTATATATATCTGAGCTGTAGAAGAATGAATACATGACGTCTATCACTTATTACAGATACAAACTAATTACTAAAATTGTTGCATTCTGCTATTTAGTTATTGCAGCTCATATTTTTTTAAAATATTGTACATTTAACGTAATTTTTTGGAGATATTTCTGCTTTATGATTTGGTTTCAGTATTATTGTTTTTCTATATTTACTTCAGCAATATATCACACTTCAAAAATTCTTATTGTGACTGGTCTATGGCAATGATATTGTGTCATTCACAGCCTTCTTTCGCTTAAATTTTTCGATTTTGTGCAGTGCCTTTTTTGCACTTAAGTGTTCAAATAAAGCATTAATCAAGTGGTGAACCCAAACAAAATAGACAAGACTCACAGGTGTAAAGAGAGAGGCAGATAGAGAGAGACAGTCCAGCACATAACTGCAGGGTGTAACAGGCTGGCAGGGAAAGCATACATGGAGTACTGTAACCAAGTGGCGGGCATAGTGTACAAAAAACGTGTGTAGAGTATGGGCTGGAGACTCCAAGGTCAAAGTGGGAAATGCCTCCTAAGGTAGTGGAGAATGATCCTGTGAGACTTCCTGATACAGACTGACAGAAAGGTGACAGCAAACCAACCAGACTTTGTAGTGGTCAACAAACAGCAGAGTAAAGCCATTGTGCTGGACACTGTAATAGCAAGTGATGGCAACATCAAGAGAAAGGAACATGAGTAAGTCGATAAATACAAGATGCTCAAAGAAGA